AAAGGGGCCCCCCCCCCCCACCAAGTCTCCAGCTAAGAACGGCTGCACAATTTTTGAGAATCTGGATTACTGAGGTTAATCCCTCCTCCCATGCTGCCCCCCTGCCTGCTGGAAAGGAGGCTCAGTGTGTTTAGAAAGTGAACTGAGCTGTTGAAGGTAAAGCGTGTTATGTTCTCAGCTCACCTGAGACTCACATCTGCTACAAAGGCTGCCACTGTCATCACTGTTAGAATTGTTGTCCCCAAACCCTCCACTGACCTTCCTTAACCTCAAGAGCCTGGCTCAGCTGTGGAAGTCGGTGAGGGCGCCTGGCACCCTCCCTCACTGAGGTCAGGATGGGGAGGGGCCCCTGGCTCAGAGATGTTGGGGGCATAGACTTCAGGGAGTTGAGCAGCATCTGGGATATGAGTGACAACCACAACAGTCAAATGCAGGCATGTCCCCAGGAGTCTCTGAACCCCCCAGGAAGGGATCAGATAGGAATCACAGAGGCTGGACTTCCTGGGATCACACAGACGGGGTTTTGTGCAGTACAGACTAACTCAGCAGGCCTGTGTTACCCAAACCCTCCACGTTCCAAAGAAAGGACTGGCCCTCAACCTGCTCCTGGGAGGTGACTTCTAAGCCCTTGGAATGTTCTGCCTGATAAGAGTGCCTTTATTTGCCTGTGGGCCTTGGGCCATGGCATATAGTTTTTTCTAACAATGTGATTTATAGTTGGTGTCTTGGGCCATGTGGTATCAGGATGACCTCACGAGGGACTGGAGTAACTAAAGTCAGCCATGCCTTTGTGACCAACTCCCAGTAACAACCCTGGACACTGTGGGAGCTAGAAAAAAAAATAACAAATTGGACTTCTAAAAGTAGGGACTACAATTGTGATTCCTAGAGGCTGGGAAGGAGAGAGGGAACCAGATGATTGGGAGAGGTTGGTTAACAGACACAAAATTACAGCTAGATAGGGAAAATAGGTTCTAGAGGGGTACAGCAGTGCCAGGCATTTATAATTAGCGATAATTTATTGTATATTCTCAGATGGCTAGAAGAGAAGAGCTCAAATGTCCTCATCACAAACAAATGATAAAGTTTTGCGATGGTGAATATGCTAACTCCCTTGATTTGATCATCACGCATTGTATACACATTATATACATGTATTGGAACATAACTCTGTACCCCATAAATATGCACAATCAATACATATCAATTAAACAATAAATAAATTCCTTAAAAAAACACAACCGCCCTGGGCACCAAGGCTCAGGTGATCTTCTTTGGTTGGCAGTACACCCTGCATGTTGTCACCCGTCTCTGGGAGAATTAAATGCTGTCTACGCAACTCCACTGGGAGGGGACAACTGGAAGCTTGTGCATGATGTCTCCTGGACCCTGTCCTGTGGCCCCTCCCCCACTTTTTTTTTGGCAGCTGGCTGGTTCAGGGATCGGAACCCTTGACCCTGTGTGGTGTTACAACACTACACTCCAACCAACAGAGCCACCCGCCTCCTGTGGCCCCTCCCCCACTTTTTTTTTGGCAGCTGGCTGGTTCAGGGATCGGAACCCTTGACCCTGTGTGGTGTTACAACACTACACTCCAACCAACAGAGCCACCCGCCTCCTGTGGCCCCTCCCCCACTTTTTTTTTGGCAGCTGGCTGGTTCAGGGATCGGAACCCTTGACCCTGTGTGGTGTTACAACACTACACTCCAACCAACAGAGCCACCCGCCTATGCCCCTTTTCCTTTGTAGATTTTAATCTGTGTCCTTTTGCTGCAATACATTGTAACCATGAATGTAACACGGGATCGGAACCCTTGACCCTGTGTGGTGTTACAACACTACACTCCAACCAACAGAGCCACCTGCCTATGCCCCTTTTCCTTTGTAGATTTTAATCTGTGTCCTTTTGCTGCAATACATTGTAACCATGAATGTAACACCTTTTCTCACTTCTGAGTCCTTCTGGTGAATCACTGAACCCAGAGGGCAACAGCAGTTGGGTTACTAAATGTGCCAAGAGCGAGTGTGTTGTTAGACCCATTTTACAGATGAGGAAACTGTGACAGACAGAATTATAAAGCTGCCCCCAGTGAGATTTTGATTAGTCAATGAAACACTAATCTAGGGACCGCTATGAAGGGACACTGCAGATATAATTGAAATTTCAAGTCAGCTGACCCTAAGATACAGAGATTGTTTGGATGGGCCTGACCCAATCAGGAGAGCCCTTGAAAAGCAGAATATTTTGTCTTTCTTTTTGGTGACTTGCTGATACGGGGATCCAAACCCTTGATCTTGGTGTTACCAACACCACACTCGAACCAACTGAGCTAACTGGCCAGCCCTCAAAGCAGAATATTTTCTCTGGGTGTTGGCAGGAGGGAAAGTCAGAGAGATTTGTAGCACAGGAAGGATTAGGTGCACCCCTAGGAGCTAAAAGCTAAAAAGCCAGCGATGGCACAAGGACCTTGGCCTTACAGACATAAGAAACTGAATTCTGCCAACACCTGAATGAACTTAGAAGTAGATTCTTCCCCAGATCCTACTGAGAAGAGCCCAGCCTGGCTAGCACCTTGATTTCGGCCTCTTGAGACCCTAAGTGGAGAGCCCAGTCCAGCCTGCTTGGACCTCTGACCTGCACAACTGTGAGCTGATAAACAGGTGTGCTTCAAGCTACTAAGTCTGTGGTCATTTGTTATGCAGCAAAGCTAGTTAATACAGGAACTGAGGCTCGAGGAGAGTGGTCACCCACTAAGGTTTACAGCAAGGACAGGGCAGGTGGGCAACCTGAGCCCATGGCATGTGACTCATGACTCTCCTACCCGAGATAATTACAAGGAAACTGTCGCCCACCCCTCTCGTTCCTCACCTCTCTGGGCTGGGACCTGGACCAACTTCAACCATGCGGATGACAGAATAGCCTGGAGCTGGCAGCAGACCGGCAATGTGGACAGAACCCAGGCCCTGAATCGTGATGTGTGTCAAGCTGCCTGGCAGGCCTGGGTCATTTGCCTCTGACTTGTTGCGTGAGAAAGAAACTTCCACTAGGTGCCAAAGACTTTGATTCCACTGCCCCCTGTTGTCCCCTGAGCCTCCTCCTGGCTCCTCTGGCTTCCTTTTCGCTATCTTTGGTGGCTCCTTATTCTCTCTTCACCTTCATTTTCATGTTTCCTGGCACTGACAACTTCTGTCCTCTGCCCCTACAAGCCCCACTGTCCCTGAAACTTCTAGGCTTCTCTTCCTCTTCCCTTCAAGATGCTGAAAGGAACAAGTGTCCCTGAGGCCCAGTTGCTGTGGGTTAAATGCGTCCCCCCAAGTTCATGTATTGGACACTTGTGCTCCATGGAACAGTGTTAAGAGGGTATGAAATCCATTGACGGTGCTTGAAAAGTGAAGCTTTCAGAGGTGATTAAATTGTGAGGCCTTTGCCCGCATGAATGGATCGATCCACTCATGGAGTAACGGCTGTGCTTCTGACGCCTTTATAAGAAGAGTGAGTGAGAAGTTAGCTCTGTCCTGCTCAGCCATTCTGGCCCTGTGTCACCCCGTGTCACTGTAGAGTCACCACCAAGAACAAAGTCCTCATCAGATGTGCCCCCTGGACTGTGAACTTCCTGGACTCTGAAACTGTAAGAAATAAACTCTTTTCTTTACAAATTACCCAGTTTCAAGTATTCTGTTACAAGCAACAGAAATGGACCAACACGCCAGTCTCCCACCCTGCTGACCTCTGACCCAGGCTCACCCTCTGCCGGAACACCCAGCCGGCCCTCTGCCAGCTTCTCTCCCAGCTTCCTTCTCTCTGGTCCCCATTCTCTCTGGTGAATGCGTGTCCCTCTCTGCCCTGCGATCCCATCTGCCATGTCACATCAAATCCACTCTCAGGTCTCCAAAACCCACTCCACAGCTGCTCTGGTCCAAGTGACCAGATCACTTTCGATCCTCATTGTCCTGGGCCATGACTGGTCCGCCTCCTCCCAGCGCTGCCTGGGTCTCTGCCCACCTACCTTGCTGCCTCTCCTTGGTCCTCTCTAATGACAGAGCGTGAGACCCAGGCTTGGTCTCTGGGGGTCTCTGTTTACACTCATCCCCCGGGAGCACTTATCTGGTCTCCTGGCTTAAAGTCTGTCAGCATCTGACACCTGATCAATTTAGGCCACAGCCCCTGCCTGGAGGTTCCTCCCCTAAACCTCAGGCTGAAGAGCCCCCACTACTCCATGTCTGCACGCGCCATGGCCAACACCCGCCTCCTGCTCTTCACCCCAAACCTGCTCCTCCCACCTCTTCCTTATCCTGGGTCATGGCAGCTCTGTCCTTCAGGAGCCACAGCCACAATGCAATGGGGTGTCCTTTGACTTCTCTCTTTCCCTCACACCCCAGGTCCCATCTATCAGCCATCTCACTGGCTCGCTCTCAGGGANTAAACCTCAGGCTGAAGAGCCCCCACTACTCCATGTCTGCACGCGCCATGGCCAACACCCGCCTCCTGCTCTTCACCCCAAACCTGCTCCTCCCACCTCTTCCTTATCCTGGGTCATGGCAGCTCTGTCCTTCAGGAGCCACAGCCACAATGCAATGGGGTGTCCTTTGACTTCTCTCTTTCCCTCACACCCCAGGTCCCATCTATCAGCCATCTCACTGGCTCGCTCTCAGGGAATATCCAGAGTCTGAACACTCCATACCCCTCGGCCTAAGCTGCCATCTGTCTTCACCTGGATTAAGTCAGTGGCCTGTGCTCTGGCCTCCTGCCAGTCTATGGTCCCCACAGTGGCCAGAGGGAACCTGTTTAAATGTGAGTCCGGTCAGGTCCCTACTCTACATGGCACCCCTCTTATTTGAAGGGCAAGTTGGTTCAACACAGCCCTGGGTGGCCTCCTACCCACCCCCCTTGCCTGCCCCTACCCCAGGGCCTTTGCAACTGCCGGTCCCTCTGCCTGGGGAACCTTCCTCAGGTATCTGCCACCTCATGGGTGGGTGAATGGAGATCAGAACAGGGGCAGCAGTTCCCCTGGTTTTGGGCGGGAAGGCGGATCCGTGGATGACCCCACCTTTCCCCTCCAAGGCCCTGGCTCCATCCTGTCCTGCATGTGTGCTCCGTTCCTTTGCTTACCCTTAGCGATCTTGATGTCCAGGGCAGTGCGGATCAGAGCCATGAGGGTAGAATTGAAGTGGACAGTGTTGTCATCTGCGACAGGCAGGTCCATCCGCAGAAGCCTCTGCAGAAAACCACAGGTGAGGGCAGTCATTCCTGGGCACCTGTCATGGGTCCCCTGAGAGCCAGGCCCACCCTCCCAGGAGCCCCAGGAAGAGCTCTGTAGGCGGTGGCGGCTGAGTTGCCCCCCACCCTTGGGTAACTTGTCTCACTACTCAATTTCCTGATTTCCCTTGGTGGCCAGGAGGGAGGGCACTGGGGGCTGTCCTATGCTTCCAAGCCTCTGCCCTTTTCTTCTCCCGCTTGTTGGACCTGAGAGCTGGCATTCCAAGGTTGGCCCAAATCCTCAGCCTTGCCCCAGAGTTCTTCTGGATGGCTCCGTTCCGTTTTGACCCCAAAGAAAAGGAGCACAAGCCAGATTCCAGTAGCACGTGCAGCAGCCAGGCAGAGGGGTCCACGTCCACAGGCGCCGGGGGGGGACACTGGTCCCTCCCCACCCCCCCGGCTTGGCCCAGACCAGGACAGACCAGATGGGCACAGAGCACATCATTCCGCTGAGCGGCAGCAGGCAGCCCCCCTCCGACGGGGCAGGCCCCTCGTGGACATGCAGTGAGGCCGTGACACACAGAATGGCACAGACAGGGGCACATGCAGACGGAATCTCGAGACTCATTCATAGCACCGTGGAAAGTGTATCTCAGGGGCATGTCCGGATCTTGGCTCTCTGTGCAATGGCAGGGGGGAGGAGGAGGGAGCATTCCCGTGGCCCAGGGAAGAAAAGATTCCCCATGTCCCAGGCAGGGGCTCTGTCCCCCATGCTTGGTGGTGTAGGAGAGGATGCTGGGCTGGTGTGCACCAGCCCAGGCTGAGGTGGCACAGATGGGGGTTGAGGGCAAGTTTGGCGTTCACAAGGGGATTTGGACACAGAGTCGGAGATGGGGAGAAGGACGGTAAGCCCAGAGTAGGACACGAGGAGGAGGTTGGGACAGGGTGGGGAGGGAGGCAGCGGAGAGAGAGAAACACACACAGACTGGGCCGCTGTGCACAGCTGTGCAGGTCGTGCACTGCACAAAGGGCTCCTGTCTTAGAAATCATGGATTTGCATATTTAATATGACAGCTTTCCTGCTGATAACAAAGAAGTATCTTGTTCTCACCATATCAGCAGATCACAATAATTTTCTAACAAAGTGTTCTGTGGAAAAGGTGCCTTTTTCAAATTTGCACAAAAGTGCTTTAGGGGCCTATGGTGGCCCTGCACAGACACCAGGAGGGGAAGGGCTCTCCCTCCCTTCCTTGTGCACGTGCACAGACACACACACTCTGCCAAGCAGAGACCGAGAGACGGAACAAGAGGAAAACTTAAGAAAGGAGGGACAGGTGCGGGGAGAGGCTTTTTGAGATGCTGGCAGGGCGGCCTCATCCCGGCCTTGACTGAGGAGGAGGTGAGGGAGGCAGACTAGGTGCACGGGGACGGGAGGCAGCGGCGAGGTTGTGGGAGGTGGCTACACGAGGCGGGCAGAAATAGCATCGACAGAAGGGGACACCGGGAAGACCAAGGAGGGTGGGAAAAGGAGATTATGGGGTAATTTTTTTTGGGGGGGGAGGAGAGGGGAATCTTTAAAAGTTGTCCCTGAACTTCTCATGGATGAGTTGAGGGAACAGAGCATCTGTCCCTGGGCACCAAGGGAGATTCCGGGACAGGGGTCTAGAGGGGTGGCCTGGCCCATCCGCCTGGCGGCAGGGCCCCTGCTCCCTCAGCCAGCATGCACCTCCCCAAGGTCGGCCATGGTGCCTGCCCGCCCCAGGCCCCGCCAAGGCAGCGTGCATGGCCTGCATCAGTGTGCCACCGTCCAGGGGTCCAGCTGCGGCCCGCCTGCCCGCTCTGGAATAATGGAGAGGCATGTTGGGGTGTCTTGGGGAGATAGGGACAGGGACTGAGGAAGCAACTCCAGGGGAGGGGAGGGTGGGGAGGAGAGGCTCTGGGTGTTCCTGGGGAGGTCTCAGATACCCCAAGGCCCTAGGTCAGAGATCAGCTTCAGGTGTGTGTGTGGGGACCAGGACCCGAGGGCTCAAGGTACAAAAGATGGGGCCAGGGGCTTGTCTTGTCTCAGGGCCCAAGCCCCTCTGCCTGGCGTGGGGGCCACTCTGGGTGGGCAGAAGGGAGACACGGTTTTGACTCCCCCAAATGTGTTTGTGTCCAATTTGGTTCCTGGGGGACCAGGTGCAAAGGGTCCTGGGCGCGCCCCTCCCCCTCCCCCCGGCGTGTTGGCCATAATGGAGTCTCAAAACACGAAGACACTCATCAGAAAGGATGGACACGGTGTGCTGCTTAGAGTCAAGGGATGGTCATGATCAGTTTACTCAAGGAGAAAAGAAAAAAGAAAAAGAAAAAAAGAGGAAGAGGAACGCTGGAAAAAGAGACTCGGCTGGGTGTTTGTGGTGAGCACCGAAAAATCCCAGTGCCTGGACGTCGGTGGTCGGCAAGGGTAGACTACCTGGTAAGCCACTCTGGCCGGACACTTCTTCCCCAGACCCAGGGGCGGAGACATGTGTCTCAGCATCTGATACATGTCCGGGTAAGGCATGCGGCCCCTGGCAGCGTCGAAAAATAAACACAAAAACGGGAGTGGGAACAAGATTCGAAGGAAGTGGGTGGGGAGTGGGAAGAAACAGAAGAAGGGGGGACCACATGAGCCGAAAAAATAGAGAGAGGGGTGCAGAGAACGATAAAATAGATACTTCAAAGAAATGCAAAAGAGGAGGGGAAAAATGGAAGAAAAGGTAATTAAAAAAATAGATGATTTCACTGCTCACGAGCAGGGAGAGAGAGAGAGAAAAGAGAAAGTCAGATTCAATTTGGACTCTGAGCTATGGGTCTGCTGGGACGCGGAGGGAAGGGGGATTCTTTTTTTTTAATTTTTTTTTTTTTTAAAGATGACCGGTAAGGGGATCTTAACCCTTGACTTGGTGTTGTCAGCACCACGCTCTCCCAGTGAGCAAACCGGCCATCCCTATGTGGGATCCGAACCCGTGGCCTTGGTGTTATCAGCACCGCACTCTCCCGAGTGAGCCACGGGCTGGCCCGGGAAGGGGGATTCTAGCTTTGGAGGACCTGGAACTTGATGCTTTTGTTTGTGGTCATTTTTTTTTTTTGGCAGCTGGATCTGAAACCTTGACCTCATGGTCATTTTAAAAGGGGGGTCAAGTTCTCCAGTTTGGCTGAGGCTGGTCTCTGAGGGGGCTTAGGTGGGGAGGAGGGGCCAGGGCAGGGGGTGGGGAGGAGAGCAGGGGGCTTCGGGAGACGAGGAGTGGAGGGGGAGAGAGTGGAGGTGATGGTGGTGGGGGGGGGGGAAAGTTACGATCCCCCCCGGGGATGTGTCTGATTTGGGGTGCCGTTGAGACCCCGGGATGGGCGGCTTCAGCTCACAGCAAGCAGAGATGGCTGAAGGGAACGAAGTATGTTCCATGCTTCATCAAGTCTACATGACTGCATTCTGGTGGCTAAGAGTTTTCTAGTTTAATGCAAGAGAGAGAGATGGCTCTGTTTTTTAGAGATATATATATATATATATATATATGAAATATATATATTGAAGAACCCCAAGCCACACTCATTCCATGGATGCTAGCAGGTTTTAGTGGAAATCAAACCTTGCAAGCAACCCTATGAGGACATTTCTTGCCTAAGCCGAGAGGGGGAGATATTACTCGCAATAAACTGTACATATCCTTATAATGAATCCGACCGCTGAAAGGAGAAGAAAGGGGGTTAGTGAAGGCAGGGGTTAAGCTGTGTTCACACTGGCTCTGCAAGCACACAGCGAGGTCAGGATGCCAGGGGCTGCAGCCCCCCTGGCTCGAAGGAGTTAGGGAGACTTGGGATGAGAGAGGGTCCCCCATACATTCCCAGACACTTGCAGACCTCAGGGGCAGAGGGTTTTTGTTGGGGTGTGCTGGGAGTTCTGGACTGGGGGACACCACTCCAAAGCTCTCTCTGCAACTGCCCCCTCCACCATCTACAAGGGTACCCTGAGGGGCTCGTGGAATACAGGACAAGGGGACAGCACCCAACTGCTGTGACCTAAAATCAAAAGAGGAAGAGTTAGGAACCAGCCAAAAGCCAAGCCCCAGACCCGCAGCTCACCCCAACCTCTTGGTCTCAGGAGGATTTGTCTGGGGCTTCTGGAATGACACAGATCAACCCCTCCCCGCCTTCCTTGTGAGGCCTCCCCTCCAGTGCTGAGGCCAGAGGAACACTGCTGGGGGCCCCCAGTAATGCTCCTTCAGATCCCAAGCCCAGCCTGAGCTAGAATCTAGGGTTAGTGGTTGGTGGGCTCTGGGCATCTGGATGGTGTTCTGAGTGTCCTGCAAGGGCTTGGTGCTGAGTGGGCACTCAACATACATGCACCGTGTGGGGTCCACCTTCTGAAATCATTGCCCGTCAGCCAGGAGGGGGCGCTCTGGTGTCCACAGAGATGGGAGAGCTCACGCCCTTGATAAGGGCCCCTGAGGCTCTGTGTCTCCCGTGGGCCTGTGTGACCACCTGCTCTTAGGTTTGGGGGTCCCAGCAGGAGCTGGGTTCTGCCACTCTGATATTGTAGCCAATCCTGTCTGTCAAGGGTAGGCCAGACCCTTTCCCCACACTCCCAGGAGAACTGAGGCTGAGAGGCTGCTGGGGCCTGGCTAACTTGTCCTCACCATCTGGAGGCCTCACAGTGAGAGGCAGGAGAGACGCACAGCAGGAGAGGGCCCCAGAGAATTCCTCACAGTTGACTCTTTCCTCATTTCCCAGAATGCCTGGGCCTAAAGCAGGGGTGGTACCCCACGTCTTCAACCTGGGCGAGGGTGATGACTTTCATCTCTTTCCTCTGGAACAAGCCCTATAAGATCCCTGCTAGGAACCCCAGGGACTCAACGTCCTGGGGTTGGGCCTGACCTAGGCTGTGTCCCAGCTACGTGGACAGGCAGGTGTCGAGGCTGAAGGATTTGCGGCGAGTCCTTACCAAGCTGCAGGGTCATACTCGGCCCAGACACGCACGTACTCATCAAGGTGGTGGGGGCCCAGGATGGAGGAATCTCGGGTGAGGTACTCGAAGTTGTCCATGATGACGGCGACAAAAAGGTTCAGCATCTGTGGGGACCCCGGGGGCCAAGAGGGAGTTGGGGGGGATCGAGAGAGAGAGAGGGAGACACCCCCATACACACGGACACAGAGGCTCAGAGGATGAGAAGGAGGGAGACAAAATGGGGAAAAGGAGAGAAACGGAAAGAAAAAGAGATGGGACCAGGGACAGAAGGGAGACACATGTTCACACAAGGAGCCCGAGCGAGAGCAAGATTGAGTGAAGATGGGCGGGGGGAGAGACAGAGACAGATGGAAACAGAGAGAAACACAAAGAGACAAAGAGCGAGAGTGACGGAGAGACAGAGTCCAAGAGAGAGGGAGGGAAGGTTCTGTGAAAAGGGGACCAACACCAAGGGGACCACCATGACTCCAAATCCTCCCACACTTGTCCCCAATAAGGCCAAAGGGAGATATTTCATTGGGCCTCAACTGGGGCAGAGTCTGACTTTCCCCAGGGGACATTTGTCAATGTCCCTGAGACATTTTTGATGGTCACAACTGGAGAAATGGGAGGTTTGTGCTCTAACATGTAGTGGATAGAGGCCAGGGACGCTGCTGAACACTCTACAGCATACAGCGCTTCTCCACCACAGAGGACCAGCCAGCCCAAATGTCAGTGGCGCTGAGGCTGAGAAACTGGTTCACTTAATCCCAGGCTGGCTCAGAGAAGCCTCGGAGGGAGCAAGTCTTCGGCACAGCCACATTCGAGAGACACCTACTCCCTTCAGAGGGAGCCAGGTCTAGGGACCCCCCACCTCCATCCACATCTACAGACTCACCAGAAAGGAGCAGAGGAAGATAAAGGACACGAAGTAAAAATAAGCAAACTCATTGCCACACTCGGGAGTCAGGATGCCAGAGTTCTTATCACATGGCTTCCCACTGAGGCAGGAAAGCATGATGTTGTGCCAGGCTTCCCCAGTGGCGCTCCTGAGGACAGGGAGGAGGCATCAGAGGCCTGGGCACCCAGCCCTGACTGGATGCCAGCACCTCCCACGCAGGTAGGGCACACAGGTTAAGCACCTGGGCTCAGGCTGGACAGGCATGTGTTCAAGTCCTACGTAGACCACCTCCTTTTGCTGGGATCTCAGAGAGGAGAATTCTCATCCTTGGCTGTGCATTAAAGCTCGTGGAAGCTTTTAACAAATGCTGACGCCAATGCCCCCTACACAGACTTGGATTCAACTGGTCTGGGGTGGGGCCTGCAGACATCTGTGTGTTTCAAAAGCGCCTTCCCTCCAGGTCACTATCATCTCTTACTACTTCCTCCCTGGATTACTCTGCTCCAGGCATGCTGGGCTCCAACGTGCCACCGTGCCCCTGCCTCAGGACCTTTGCACTGGCTGTACCCTCTGCCTGGACTGCCCTTCCCCAGCTATCCACACGATTCTCTCTCTTACCTATTTCTCGCCCAGAGAGGCGTGACCTATCGGCTCTCCACTTTCCTTCTTTTTTGGCAGATTAAAACAAATGTATTGTGACATAACAGACATAACATAAAGATTACCATTTTAACCATTTTGAAGTGTACAATTCAGTGGCATTAAGTACATTTACGTTGTTGTGCAACTATCACCACTATCTACCTCCAGAACTTTTTTTTTTTTTTCCTTTTTTTTGTCTTTTTTCATGACCGGCAACGGATCGCAACCCTCAGTGTTGCGCCCGTACCGGACTGGGACCGGCAACGGGATCGCAACCCTCGGCGTCGCGCCCGCACCTCACTCAGCCAGTGAGCGGCCGGTCTGTATGTGGGATCTGAACCCTCGGCGGGAGCGCCGCCGCGCTCCCAAGCGGCGCACTGTAGCAGTGCACCACCGGGCCAGCCTACCTCCAGAACTTTTTCATTATTCCAAACAGAAACTTTGTATCCATGAAACACAAACTTCCCATTCCCTCTGCCCCAGCCTCCGGAAACTTCTATTCCACTTTCTGTCTCTATGGACATGTCCACTCTAGGTATCTCATATAAGTGGCATCATACTGTATATGACCTTTTGTGCCCCATTTCCTCATATATATATATTTTTTACATCTGGCCTGTAAGGGGATACGAACCCTTGACCTTGGTGCTATAACACCGCGCTCTAACCAAGTGAGCGCTAACTGGCCAGCTCCATTCCCTCTTAATCTTGAATTTTATCCTCTGTTAGCATTCTGTATAACTTGCTTACTGGTTGTCTGCCTCCCACATGGGAATATAAGCTTCCAAAGGGAAGAAAATGTTCCTGCTCTATCTCAGTTTCTATACAGTGCCTGGCACACAGTAGGTGCTCGGTAAGCCTCCGCTGAACAAACGAAGGAATTCTTTTTTTTTTTTCCTTTTTGTCCTTTTTCGTGTCCGGCAACGGATCGCAACCCTCAGTGTCGCACCCATACCGGACCAGGACCGGCAACGGGATTGCAACCCTCGGTGTTGCGCCTGCACCTCGCTCAGCCAGTGAGCGGGAACCGGTCTGTATGTAGGATCCGAACCCTCAGCAGGAGTGCTGCCGCGCTCCCAAGCGGTGCACTGTAGCAGTGTGCCACCGGGCCGGCCCAAAACGAAGGAATTCTAATGTGCAGCCAGGATTATGAACCAAGGAATCAAGCCTCAGAGTCTATAAGCCTCAGTTTCCCCATCCGTCAGATGGGGTTGCCAAGAATCCCCACCTCCCAAGGTGGTCAGGAAGATTCAACAAGATAATGCCTGGAAAATGCCTCTCATGCTTGTGTCCCAGGGCCTTCAGATGCCCCCCTGAGGAGATCCCTGAGCCCCACAGCCCATCCCAAACCTTCCCGGAAGAGAAGGATAAAGGCACGCCCCCAACTGGAAGAGAATAAAGGCATGCCCCCAACCGGAAGAGAATAAAGGCACGTCCCCAAATGGAGGAGAAAGAAAAAGGTAGTGCTCCCCACTGGAAGGGAGGATGAGGAAACGCCCCCCACCAGAACAGGAGGATGAGGAAATGCCCTCCCTGGAAAAGAAGGATAAAGGCACCCCCCCCAACTGGAAGAGAGGGTGAGGGCACGCCCCCCTCTCACCGGAAGAGCAGCATGAGGGCTTGGAAGAAGGTCCGGAAGTTATTGTGCTCAGTGATTTGAAACTCATCTTCATCACTGTCTTCATCCTCCACGTCGATGCCGATGTTGCCAAACACCTGGAAGATTGGGGGGTGATGACCAGGGATGGCCATGCCCAGGGTGGTACCAGGGAAACCCAGCTCAGCCTCCTTGGCTGCCTCTCTGAATGGGGCTCCCCAGACCCGTGCCTGCCTAAGGGTGGCCACTCTCTTTGGGAGGCTCTGGGTACCTTAGGAGTGCCGGCACTCACCTGCATCCCGATGATGGCGTAGATGAAGAAAAGCATGGCAATCAGCAGACAGACATATGGCAAGGCCTGGTGGGAAGGAAGGCAATGAAAACGGGACCTGGGTGGCCACATGCTGTGCCAGAGTCCTGCCAGGGCTGATGGGCATCTTTAGGGGCTCTGGGATGAGGTCATAGTGCAAGGCATCAGTGGGGTTCCCCTTAGACACACCAGGAGCAGGAAGTTAGACAAAAGACGTGCATGTAACAGATTCTCAGCAAGGCTGCACTGTAGAGGCACTTCCAGCCTGATTTGTACATTCAGCCAGAGCACAGGGGTCTGTTCGTCTTCTTAGCCCTGGGCCAGCAGCAGGGGCAGGGGCTTGGGCTTACCTTGAAGGACTGCACGAAGGTCCAGAGAAGAATGCGGATGGTGTAACCCTGACGGAGGAGTTTGATGAGCCGTGCAGCTCGGAAAAGGCGGAGAAAGCTCAGGTTGATGAAGTTGTTCTGGGGAGATGGAGGAAGAGGGGTGACCATCCACCCACCCCGAGGGGCTCAGAGCTGTCACCACTCACAGAGGCCCTTACATGAAGCCAACCAACAGGAAAAAAGCAAGCCAGACCCCAAATAAGGAGGGAGAGGAGAGAAAGCACTATTAATGCAATGGTGCAGAGGAAAAAAACTAGAAAAAGGAACAAAGTCAGGGAGAGAGAGGGTTGGAGGGAGTAAGAGGCATCAACTCAAAAAGCATAAGCCCTCCCTGCCAGCCCCACCCGCAATGGGGAAAAGGAAAGAAAAAGGAAGGAGGAGAAAGGTGCTGGGGATGGGGAAGAAATAACAAAAGAACAAGGAAAAGAAAATATATCCGAATCATCCAATCAGGAAAAAAATCGAGATGGTTTTTGTTTCTCCCAACAACCAAATGCACTGAGACAATAGGACACAAGCGAGTCAAGTTGCGGAATCCATCACATGTGTACGATGCACAAACACCAGGGTGGGGTGGGGATGGGGGTCGCCAGCACGCTCAGGCCTGGTGGACATGTGCGGGTTCCAAGGGCATGTTATGCTCCGGGCCAGAAATGCATCTGTCACGGGACTCACCGGGCACCCTGCCCTGCCCTGCCCTGCCGAGCTGCCCACCCGTTCCTGCCCGCCCTGACCTCACCCCACGGCCAAGAGGAGCAGCGGCTCAATCGGGAGAAGCGGAAGAGCATCTTTTCTTACCCCCTTGGCGAGCGGGAATGGGGAGGACGGGAGGGAGCTGGGGCTGTTCGGCTGCAGGGTGAGTCCTCGCTGCCCGCTGAGTCGGAGAAGATGCATTTGGGGCCCTTTTCCCCCCTCTCAGGGATGGCTTCTCAGCTTCTGGGGCTGGGTGGAGTAGCACAGGACCAGGCCTGCAGGAAGCAGGAAGTACTCAGCTCCCGTGGGTGGGTGAGCTCAGAATCAGGCCGGGCCCACCAAGGGGTTGGTGCTGGGGGCAGGGAGCTGAGGCTGTCCCTGCCCCCAGGACCTCCCTGGGTGGCCCCTGCCTCTGCTCAAAAACCCCCTGTCTACCTCCTCCCATCCAAGCTAGAAGAACCCCAGGGTCCAGAGAGTTAGGGTTGGGGAAGGAGGCCAGCTGAGATGGTGGGCACAGCCTGCTGGTGTTACGTGACTGTCCTAGGGCTTCAAGGGACACTGGTGAGGGGTGGGAGGCTAGAAGTCAGAAATGGACCAAATTTGGCTGATGAAGCTATTTTGTTAGGCCTGAGCTGTGTGTGTGTGTGTATGTGTGTGTGTTTTCTTGCTTTTGGTTTTAATTAAAAATAGTTGCCATTGTTTAAAAATTAGGAGATTTCTCCCACCCTTCTGGCTTTCTGGGACCTGTGGGCCTGTTGTGGCTGCCCTCTGGAAGCAGGACACATGCCCTTCAGTTTTTCAAGGCCCCCATGCTCTAGAAATGGCACCTGCTTTCTTGTTTTATTGGTGTCTGTTTGGCCCCCAGAGGCATTTGAGTTTGAGACCCCTGCCTCAAGCAGACATGGAAACCCCTGCCTCAGGCAGACTTGGAAACCCTTCCTCGCTGGCCAGGACCCAGCAGGTTGTAGACAGGAGGAGTGAGGGTCTCCTGACAAGAGGAGCCATAACTGGGTTCTGCTCTATGGGATTTGTAGGAGCCCTAGTTACAGGCCACATGGCAAGATTTAACTTGGCCTATCCCTCACCCCCAAATGGCACAGGATGACCTCGACAATCATGAAATCCCTACCAGTCTCAAAAATGTCCCAGTTTAGGCAGTGACTTATATGCACATCCTACTTGGTGCACTAGCTTCAGCCTTGGAGCTGAGAGTCAGGGGCTGGAGTTAAATTTCTGAGGCTGGCAAGAGGCCTCTGGGTTTGCTGGCAATGTCTAGAATGCTCTCTGGGACACATCAGTGGCCCTTAGGCCTCTAGGATGGCAAAGGGGGTTGGGGGATCCTATTCTGACCACATTGGGCCCAAATGCTGTAAAAATGCCCAAGCACCTCGAACAAGCCCCTAAACGTTGTTTGGCTAAGAAAGTGACCCTCCATGTCCTACTGACCTGACTTTCAGCCCTACCTGGCCACCCAGCTCCACCTGAGGATGGGGCTGATGGCCCAGATGTCCCCAGCCCCCTCCCATCCATCCCCAGATTCCAAGCCATCCCTTCCATGGGGTGGATCATAACATGGGGACTTGGCCAGGCATGCAAAGGCAGGCGGGCCCTGGAAGCAGCCTTGTGGGGGGCTCAGGGCAGAGCAGGGGAGCTGGCCACCATGCAGGAGAAGCGTGCAGGGATCTGGCAGGGAGACACATGCGGAGAACATGCTGCCCTTCTTGGAGCTGAGGGGGGGAAGGAGACACACAAGGGAGAGGTCTGGGAGGTGGGGCAAAGGTACTAGTCTGCCCTCAGCCAAGCCCCTCATCTCTTCCAGGGTCTGCACCATGTCCTTCGAGTGCCCACAGAGCTTCCAACGAGTTCCTTCTTCCTAGCTTTGGATTCACAGCCTGGGAGGAGCAGTTTCCTCTCCTTAAACCTTGCCCTGCACTTCCTGGCTAGAGCGTGGTGGGGCTGGGCAAGCCCTTGTTGTCCTCTCTCTTCCAGCACTGTGCCCAGGAGCGGATGTCCCATGAGCACTCAGAAGACATGGGAACTGCTTACCCAAGGGTTCAGAGAAATCCTGTCACTTGCAGACCCCACCTCCAGCCCAGACCTCACCTCCTCCAAGCTCCAGACCCCATCACCACCTTCCTACCTGACTTCATCCAGGTTATACGCCCACACTTGTTCTCTTCCCCACATCGTGGCCCTCTCCTGGTGCTCCCTAGCCTCCATCCTCCTGGTTTAAGCCAGACCGGATCCATCCCCAGCTCCTGCAGAGGCCCCTGCTGAGGTGGCCAGTCTCTCCTACTGCTCCTTCTCACTGGGATTCCTGGTGCCCACCTCCAGCCCAGCCTCCTGCCAAGCTGCTCGCTGCTCTGCAGCTCCAGTGGTCTTGTCTGATTACACTTCCAATCACACCTTCCCTGCTTCAAATCCTCCCAGGCCTCTCCTGGAGCTTAGGATGAAGTCCAAATTCCACAATAAAGCCCCCCGCCCCCCAACCCTGTCCCCTTCTGCCTTCAACTGTCTGTGGGTCAGCTTTCCTCTGCTCTCTTTGCTCCAGCCACACCCCCTCACTTGCAGATCCTGATCCCTGCATGCTTTGTCCTGCCACAGGGCCTTTGCAGATGCTATCCTGGCCCGGAATGCCCTTTTCTCCCCTCTTTGCCTTCTTAATGCTGCTCATCCTTGAGCTCACAGTGTAGTTGCAATTCCAAGTGGAGTTGACAGATTAATGAGCAATGCCTACCTCACCCACCTGACTGTAGGTGAGGGGTGGGCAGCGGTGGTGGCTGCTTCTACCCACCACTGCATTGGTGGCACCAAGTAGGGGCTTGTTAAGTGTTTGGTGAGTGACTGCATGTGTATTCCAGGGGAGGGATCCCAGTGCAAAGATGCCTTGGGAGGCTTTCAAAAGGGCTCATCGGCAGGCAGGGGAGGAGCAGGGGCAGGTGGGATTTAACAGAGTGAGGGGTGCAAGGAGCTGAGAAATGGGGGAGGGAGAGAGATGTGTGCAGTTTTTGCTGGGGTAGGGGTGTGACGTGTGGGATGGATGGGTGTAAGAGAGGAGCAGAACAGTGTGCATGTGTGTGCATGCATGCTACCCGTGCATGTGAGAGAGAGACAGAATAATAGAGAATGAGCAAGAAAGAGGAATGGTCATGATTGTGTGCCATTACCGTGTGCTCAGAGCCTGCATGTTCAGTGATTGCGTGTGCAGTGACTGGATAGTTACCATGTGTGTGTGCAGTAACTGTGTGTGCAGTGACCGTGTGTTTGTACCATGTGTGCAGTAACTGAGTGCAGTGACCGTGTGTGTAGTGACTGTGTGTGTGTGTGCTATGTGTGCATGCAGTAACCATGCATGCAGTAACCACGTGTGCATCTACTGACCACATGTGTGCTGTTTATGTGTGGGTGCAATGTCTGTGTGTGCACTGGTTGTGTGTGCAGTGACCATGTATGCACTGGCCATGTGCGTGGCACACGTGCATGTGCAGTTCAGGGCCCAGGAGAGAGCCTCAGCCCAGCTGGCCCCCTCTGAAAACCACCAGAGTCTGGCCGTTCTGAGCTCCCCTGCCTGGGAGTCTGCTCGCATGTCTCCCGGCCTCCAGGCCTCCTCCATCAGACTTGGAGAGTTAAGTCTCTGCTGGCCAGGCCTAAAGAGCTCACGGGACAGCAGGAGAGAGCTTTCCTGGGGCGGGGCTCCACGGAGCTGTACAGGGGACAGGAGTGGTGAGAGGTGGCTGGGAGGGGGTGGGGTGTGTGCCACCAGTGGCTCCAAGTATAAGGGATGTGTGTGAGGGATGGGGTGGGAGGCACAGCCAGCCTACTCATCCTGCACAGGGAAAACCCGTCTCTTTCTCTGCAAGAGATGCAAACCATCCAACCAGAAAGCCCCACTTCAGAACCTGATAGTCTGCAGGAACGGGGAGGGAGAGGGGCTGGGGGTGGGGGAGGCAGACAGACGGAAGGGTGCAGCGGGGAGTGCGGCAGGCATTCCCAGTTGGAAAGCCAGGGTGTGACATGCAATGCCTGCGCGAGAAGCTGCGTTCACAGTTAATGTAAGGCATTTAGACTTCAGAAAGAAGTAAGACCAACCGGATTCTAGATGCAGATGTTGAAGATGGAGGGGGGGCGGGCGGGCGGGGGCAGTTGGGGAGGCGTGTTCAGCGTTTTTTAGGTTGATTTGTAACCAGTGCCAAAAAAACCAATGGGTTTCGGTTCCCGGGCGGGGAGTGGGGGTGGTGGTGGTGGCGGGTTGGGAGAGAAGTCATTGGTGTATGGACACACAGACCACGCCATGGATGAGCGAATGGATTTCATAGTGCATTTTGATTGGATGAGTTTTTCAGACGGCGTTGTGCCAATATACAGTTTAAAGAGCAGGCATGAAAAGAGACAAGACAAGAAACACAGTCATTATCCATTGCACACAGGCCAAACCCACGTCACCCTGGCCACTTGGGGGCGGCAGATGAGGCCCACACACCCGCGGCCTCCCAAGCCCTGGGGACCTGCCCTCCCGAGGGTCTGGTTCCTTCTGCCTCAGCTTGGCTGAGCTCTGGCCTCAGACCTAGCGGGCTTACCTGGGAGGCAGAGAGGGGCATTAATCGTCCCAGGGGGGCCAAACCCACCCACTGTCTTTTCCTTAAAATGATTATAATTCAGGGCTGGCTAACAAACTGCACACTCAGGTACATTCATGGTAATAACAGCAATAGCAATAATAATCAACGCCATTTGTGAACTCGATTTTTGGCAGGTTCTGCGCCAAGCACTTCACGTGGATGGCTCTTATTTGTGAAAAGTTGCCATCTCCCTGCCTAAAGGTCAGCTCTAGATGCAGGCAGGCATTCAGCATTCTTGTCTGTTTGTTTTGTCCCCTACTCTGTCTCCAGCACCTATAACTATACCTGGCTTACAGTAGGCGTTCAATGTATGCCTGCTGAAAGCATGCATGCACGTGAGTCCTGCAAGGATCCAATGAGTTGGTTATCGCCACTATATATTAGAAGACATAACCCAAGTTGTCCAAAATCAAATAGCTGGTAAGGAGAGTTGTTTGGCTACTGGAATAGTCCTGATGTCCCTGAATTGAATTGGCCCCCATGCCCCATTCTTCTGCCCTCTCCTGTCCTGCCAGCCAGGAGAGGAGGCTGTTGGCGTCTAGCTCTACGGATCTCTTCCTGGCAATTGGAGGTGTCAACCAGGTTTCTCCACCTGCCCTGTTAGAGAGGCTGGGTCACCTCTCCCAATCCCTTGACCCAAAGGAATGTTGGTTCAAGGCTGTCTTGTGCTCAGCTGCATGGCAAGACATTTTGAATGCCGGCTGGAGCTCTAGGTCTCTCTAGAAACTCAGGTCAGAAGATAAGGGTCAGGCTTGGACCTTCTGCCAGGGAAGATAACCAGGTGGGGGCACCCCAGTGGGGACAGCCCCCAGAAGGGCGTGACTACTCTAGAGGATAGTTTCAGGGGTGGGGTGAGGAGAAGCAGGAATTTCTGGCTCACTGGAGCTGAAGGCAAAAAAGTGAGTGGCCAGGATGCCACTTGGGTGGGGGCACTGGGGACACACTGCAGAATGGCCCTGTCTTCTCTATGGTTCCCCAGCTCCGCCAGCCTTCTGGGATGGAAGAGTTGGCAAATTGATCCCTCTCTGCTGGAAGAATCAGAGTGGGACACTCCAGCCGCTGCCAGTGTGCTCTCAGGAGTCACCCAGGCCTGACTGCATGACTTTGGGTGGGTCCCTCACCTCCTTGAGCATAGAGCATCAGTTTTCTCATCTGTGATATGGGGCAACACCCTCTTCCTCAGGCCTCACTCTGCCCAGATCTATTCTCCATCTTCTTCTGGCTCTGAGCATTACATTTAGCTCCCTTGGCCAATGGGAGGTGCTAGCAGGAGATGGAGGACAGGACGAGAGAAAGGTTGGAATATTTCTCCCTGCCCCCACCCTGCTCTCTGCCTGCTTTGGCCCTTGTCTCTGTCCCTCCCACCAGGTGGCCCCTCCCTGACTCTTGCTTAGGTTTCCTCCCCTGTTCAGCACCTGGGCAGGTAACAGCTCCCCATGGTGGCTGGTCCCGGGGTGCCCTGCCATCTTTGTGGGTCCCCTTCCCCTCCCCGCTGAGAGTCGCCTCTGCATTCAGATCCCTTCAATTGAACCCTATGAGGAAATTCCCTACATGCTGAGACTGAGACCTGCACCATGAGCTAATCCACGTAAAATGCTTGGCACAGTGCCCGGCATGCAGCGGTGCATTCTCCTTGTCTGCTATTATTATGCTTATTGTCACAAGTATGCCACTGATGCCACCCCTGACCCCTTGGCTTTGATATACTTTGCCCTTTAGCTCTCCCTGCAAGGATCTCCTACCCTCCCACCAATCTCCTGGGCCCCCCCCAAGCCCTGGCTCACTGGCAGATGGCCAAAGAAAGAGTCTGGGATAGGAACTCTGGGGCCCTGAGTCTTCCAGAAAAGGGGGAAGGATGATGTGGCCTGTGGGGTCATCACAGAGAGTTCTAGAGACACCCAAGGTGGAGATCTCCCAGGCCTGGGCTAGAGGAGGGTGGATGTCCTGGGGACCCTCTTAAGACCCTGGGAACGGCATTTCCCCCACTTTTGGCCGGAGGACCATGGCTCTCTCCCGCCCATGAGCCAGAAGAGGGTTAGTTCAAGCAGACTTGGCCTGAGACTGCTTCTCTCTGGGTCCCCAACACAGTGATGTTTGGGGGCAGGCTCAGCTTTGGGAGCCTTTAGTGTCCCAATTCTCTCAATACACTCATCTGCATTATTTATTCCTAAGTTGACAGCCAAGATGCAGGGAAGCCTGCCTGCAGCCCTGGCCCCCAAACAGGCTTTGGGAACACCCATCTCCCCAGGTTGCCCTCCTGAGGGGCTGCCCTTGTCCCCAGGGGCCCCGGTTCTCCCTCTTTGGTCATGACCAAGTGGTGGCCGAGCTGGCCTGGGCTGTTGGGCCCTGCTGCTCCTGGCCAACCCCCTACTCCCAGCCCAGCCCGGACTCGCCCAGAGAGAAGCCAGCGGGAGACTTACCCCAAACTCTGTCACAAGGATGTCGGTGATGCTGCCCAGAACAGTCACAAAGTCGAAGATGTTCCAGGCATCGCGGAAATAATTCTAGAATGGGGACCCACAAGACAGAGATGCCAACAGAGAGCTCTGTGCCCTGCCCCCCAAGGCCAGCCGAGGGGCATGGTAGGGACATGGCTGCCAATCAGCCCAAGGACCCAGGACAGTTGCGGTCATTCGAACAGCAAAATGCTGCAGTACAGGCTACTTAACATCATCTGTTCTAAGTTCTCCTCTCTGGGACCGCCCCCCACGGCCTTCCCATGACTTGCCTGGTCCCAGAGGGGGTTTCCAGACCTGCTTCAGCTCTACTGGGGAGGGGGCTGCTCTTCGGGGCTGTGAACTGTCTCCAACATTTCTGAATCCCCCCACCCCAAGACCCCAGGTGCTTTATAAAGGACATCATTGGGATCCTCACAAAGATTCCCGAGGAAAGGATTTTTCCATGAGGGGACTGAGTCTCAGAGAGTGAACTCACTCACCTGCCTGAGGCCAGGAGCACAGAGATGTCATCATGATTTGAACCCAGGCCTGGGTGAGGCCAGAGTTTGTGTTCAGGACCTCACTGTTTTTATAGCACACTTGCTGAAACAGCAGACTCTGGGTTCAAATCCCAGCTCTGCTACCAGAGCTGTGTGGCTGTGGGCAAGTAACTTAACCTCTCTGTGTCTCCATTTTCTCATCTGGAGAAGGACAGTGACAGGCGTGCAAAATGAGCACCAGAGCAGGACCCTCAAGGCCTTCAAGACACACACCAAACTGCACTTCCTGGCACCTGCGTGTCTAGGTTTGGCTGATGTGCTGTGAGCACACACATTATGAGTCACTTCCTAGCCAGTGTGGGACTCTCCAGGACTCTATTAACCCCGGGCCTGGTAACCAGCAACATTCAGGATGGCAGCTACTCCGTGAACTTGCATCCCTGAGTAACTATGAGGCAAACAGCCTCCTGCAGAGTGTTAAAAAACCCAACAACTTTTGTTGATTTAAGCCACTGATATGTGGGGGTTGTTCGTTACTGCAGCTTAACTTGATCTAGCCTGACTGGTACATCCCTGGGCTGGTTGCTTGCTCAATACCCAACAACTTTTGTTGATTTAAGCCACTGATATGTGGGGGTTGTTCATTACTGCAGCTTAACTTGATCTAGCCTGACTGGTACATCCCTGGGCTGGTTGCTTGCTCAATAGGGATGCACAGATACAACCGCATCATTGTTAAAATACTGAAATACTCCACGCTGTTTGGTAAACAGCCACAGCCCAAGTCCCCTGAGGTCCCCTGCTGCCTTTGACCTCCTCAATCCAGCAGTGCAATCGAGAAATGCTTGGCACTTTGTGGGGGGAGGGGATCTGCTCCAATGTCAGAGCTCACATCAAGCGGCACCCCTGCCTGGACCTAAGAGGCTGCCCTTCAGGGCTCAGTGGGATTCACGCCAAACAAGGGTCTTCCCACTACCCTCATGAAAATACAGGCCAGGTCAGGGCTTGGGCCCCATTCTCAGTGGTCAGCTCTTCCCCTGAGCATCTAACCCTAAGGTAGCCCTGATGCCTTACAGAGAAGGACCCAGATTTTGAAGTCGTGCTTCCCAGGGTCAAATTCTTTCAGCACATACAAGTTATATCCCTTGGAGTTGGAGTGCCTGGGCCTCAGGGCCCTTCTCTGGAAGGCAGGGGTATAAAAGCAATCAGATAGTGTGAGTCACTCAGTATGGGGTACATAGTATGTGCTCAACAGATGGATATTGTTACAATTGCTTAAAAGGAACTCAGGTTACATTAGCACTGCTGGTATTTCAGCAGATGCTGCTCGGGCCCTGCCCATATCCTTTCATATTTCAATTGCACACCTTTGTGACTTTCCCTGGGGGCTCTCTCTGGGTGCACATTTGTCAGGGAATTAACAGCTCCCCTGGGACAGCCTTTGACTATGACGGATGGGCACTGGAGGGTCAATACCCCGGCTCCCTCCCACTGGGGTGGGATGACTCTGTGGTGTGTGCTCTCTGCTGCCCCCTGGAGGTTCCCAGCAGGAATGAGCCCACGGCAGGAACCGGCTTCATAACACTCTTTCCTGGTTTCCTTCCTGTCCTGCCTCACTTTCTCTCTCCCCTACCATCCTTCCTCCCAGATAAATTCCTCGCACTCAATCCTGTCTCAGGTTCTGCTCCTGGGGGGCCCAAATGAAGACAATCTTCTAGGAGTTTGGCTGTAGACCTCAGATCTCCAGGCTGGAGGGTTCCGCTCTGTCACCTGAATGTCACCTGGGGAACTTGGGGCTTCATTTAAAACTGAAAAATGAGGCTCAGTGCAGGCCCCTGCAGGACTGGCAGGGGTGAGGGAGACAGAGACACAAGCCCTGATGGAAGAATCACTTGGAACAAAATAATGTCACCTGGGGAACTTGGGGCTTCATTTAAAACTGAAAAATGAGGCTCAGTGCAGGCCCCTGCAGGATTGGCAGGGGTGAGGGAGACAGAGACACAAGCCCTGATGGAAGAATCACTTGGAACAAAATAACTGCAAAGCCCTGGGAGGTAGATATGGAAACAGGAACAAAAAGGCCAAGTTACTCTCTTGAGGCCACACAGCTAGAAAGGGGCCAAGGTAGGATTTGCACCATGGTATGGGTGCACCAAAGCCTGAGTTCTTCTCAGTCCATGTTCTGTGACACGTCCTGGGTCACACAGCCCATAGTCGGCATCCCCAGGACCGGAACACTGAGTTGTTGCTCTTGCCCTGACTGCAGGATGCCTCTTTTAACTGGCTGGTGCTCATCACAGTGCCTGACAGCCCTGGCTGGACTTTAGAGTCCCCTGAGGAGACTCAGATTTGGGGTCCCCCACCTAACCAAGTGAATCAGTATTTCTGCGGGCAGGTCTGGGCAATGTCCAGTGTTATGAAATCTCCCCAAGTGTGGTTCTGATGGGTAGTGTCATCTTCAAAGCAAAGCAGTGGCTCTGGAGGAGAAAGGTAGGTTGATGACTTTTACATCGTAACCCTTCTGCTATGGTTTGAGTGTTTGTCCACTCCAAAGCTCATGATGACACTTAACGCGCATTGTAACAATATTAAGAAAGTGGGAAATCCCACTATGGTATTTGAAAGGTGGGGCCTTTAAGAGGTGATTGGATCATGAGCACTGTGCTCTCATGAATGGGTTAATCTATCCATGGAATGGACTAATGGGTTATCATGGGAGTAGACTGGTGGCTTTATAAGAAGAAAGCATGTTAACACACTCAGTCCTCTTGCCATGTGATGCCCTGTGCCACCTCAGGACTCTGCAGAGAATCCCCATGAGGAAGAAGGTGCTCACCAGATATGCCCCTTGACCTTGGACTTCCCAGCCTCCAGAACCATAAAAATAAATTTCTTGTCTTTATAAATTACCCAGTCTCAGGTATTCTGTTGTAAGCAACAGAAAACAGACTAACACACCTTCCTAGCATTTACTGAGCACTCACTCCATGCCAGGCTTTGTGCTCAGCTCTCTAGACACACATTATTGTGTTGGGTGCTTACAAGGGACAGGCGGAGGATGGGCCCTTCTTAGAATGGAGGTGACAAAGTCTGTATACAATAGGCAGCATTTGAATCTAGGTCTCTCTAAAGCTGACACCCTTAAATACTTCAGTAAGCCAAGAGGAGAACCCAGGCCCTGAGACTCTGGCTGAGACCACATGCTGTAGGTCATTCTGTTCAGAGAGATGGTCCAAGAGGGCAGTCAACAGAGCAGATGTCTTGGTTCACTTACTGGGGCCTTCAAGAAGTCACTAAATGCAGTCGCTCCAAGTCACAACCCGTTAGCTCAGGCCTTCGCCCATTTTTTTTTTTTTTTTTGGTGCTGTGACCCCCATTGGCCCTCTGGGAAGACCTTTTTGGAGTAAAACTTTTAGATGAATAAAATAAAATAGGCAGGATTGCAAGGAGACCTGTTATGTTAAAATAGGTATCAAAATATTTTTTTAAATGGTGACCTAATAATTAATGTACTTCTTCATTAACATACTAAACAACAGATTCTAGGCATAGGCTTAAAAACCATCAGCATTTTGAAGCAATGATAAATGCAAACTAAATTTTGAGGTATCGGGGTAGGGGGGATGGCGAGAGGTTGGTTAATGGGTACGAAGTTACAGGTATATAGGAGGAATTAGCTCCTGTGTTCCAATACACAGTGAGGTGACCATGGTTATCAATAATATATTGTATATTTCAAATTAGCAAGAAGAGAGAATTTTGGAAATTCTGCCAATTGCATATATTAAGACATCACATTGTATCCATAATAATATGTATGATTATTATGTGTCAATAAAAAAATAAAGTATACAAAAGGAAAAAAATTCTGAGATAACTGCAACCCCTTTAATGCAGTATGAAAATATCTGATTTTTAATCTGCGAAATAGGTCGTATTGATAATACTGCAGGAGATTGTTGTCTGCTTTCAAGATGGGAGAAAATGCTAAAGTTTAGTTAGTGGCTGGTGAAAAAATAAAGATGTAATTTTTTCACATCTAATTCCAACCCTGCATCCCCCTTCCCCCAATCCACAGATTTCCTTGGGATCAAAGGGCCTTAGATTGACTACTTGCATTAGTGGGAGATAAAATCGAGTTAGTGGATCATGAACTGCATTTAAAAGAAAAGGAAATGTTGGTTAGAGTGCGGTGCTGATAACACAAGGTCCAGGGTTTGGATCCCCATACCAGTCAGCCACCAAAAAAAAAAGTAAATGGAATCAAATAGAGTACACGACTTCAGAGTTCTTGAAAATTTCACTTTGGTCATCTGCGTGTGTATCTGCAGTTTGGGCTCCATTGTAAAAATGTATTTCTTACTGTGGACTGTAGTTAAAACAGTTTGAGCACTGGAGAGCCTCTCTGATCTCAGTTTCCTTATCTCTAAAACAGGTGATAATTACTCCACCCATCAAATCATTTTAAGGAATAATTAAATAATACATGCCTGGCATATAGTAACACTCAAGTGTTGGGTCTCTCGGGTATCACAGGGCAAGCATAAGAATGCCTACGTAGGGTCTGTGGCCATCAGCAGGATGTTTAAGCCACCATTGGAGTCGGGGGTCTTGGGGCCGTGTTGGGAGACCGTCACCCTGCACCCAGCACTCCTCTGAGCCCCCCTCCCAGCCCCCAGCTGCAGCCCCAAGGCTGTACTTACCAGAATCCCAAAAGCCATGACTTTCAGCACACATTCCAGAGAAAAGAGGGAGGTGAAGACGATGTTAAACACCCTCAGAGCATTTTCATAAGCAACCGATGCCCCATAGAACTAGAGGAGGAGGGAGAAAGGGCAGTGGGGGTCAGAGCGTAGAGGTGGGGACCGGGGAGGCAGCTTTGTGGCTGTCTTTCCTGGGACAGGACTCGGACACTTTGTGACTTGGGGCCACAGGCAAGGGCTGAGCAATTTTGTTTGTGAGAGGAACAGCTCAGGAATGCCCAGATCTTCATGGGGCTGGGCTCATCTTTTCACACTCAAAATAAAAACTCCTTTCTTGAGTCTGGTCTTAGCATCCCAGATCCTGGGACAGCCTGGCTAGATGCGGTTCCCGACGGGATGCAGGAGGGTATCCAAGCGTCCTCTGGGCAGTTGTTTCTGTTTTTCATTTTTTCAGATTTTTTTAAGTTGATGTGCAGCAGTCATAATTCTTGCCTATATATCCCATAAGATCATTCCTCAGATCAAGAGTTAGAACATTCCCAGCACCCTTTCCTTCTGTCCCTTCCCAGTTGATAACCCTCCCTAGAGGTCACCACTATTCTGACACCTTAGGAAATATTCTTGCCCAAATAATTTAATCAGAATCAAATTCAATCTTTAGACCTAATTACCAGGTTATAGGATATATGGCAGCTGGAGGAAGAAATAAAAGTGTCCCACGAAGATGGACACCAACACCACCAGACGTACAACAGTTTGTGTTCAATTCACCTGGTTTTCCCAAAAAGTCAATAGCATAGAGAAAAAACGAAAAAGTGTAGGCAGGACAGCAACTTAAAAGTCAAAAACCCAAGGTCATGTGTGGTCATTTAGATCTTGGCTTAAGGACCGACTAGCTTTAAAACACATTTTGGGGGCAACTGGGGACATTTCAATAGGGGTATTAAAGAATTACTACCAATTAATAACTTAAAAGTCAAAAACCCAAGGTCATGTGTGGTCATTTAGATCTTGGCTCAAGGACCGACTAGCTTTAATACACATTTTGGGGGCAACTGGGGACATTTCAATAGGGGTATTAAAGAATTACTACCAATTAAGCATAAGAATCTTGCTTGATCGCACATAAGAATATGTAGGAAAATGTCCTTATTTTTTAGAAATGCATATTAAGGGACTTAGGGGCAATATATTGTGGTATCTACCATCTAAACTAATTTAAAAATAGATGAAGGGGCCAGTCCGTGGCTCACTCGGGAGAGTGTGGTGCTGATAACACCAAGGCCACGGGTTCGGATCCCATATAGCTATGGCTGGTTCGCTCACTGGCTGAGCGTGGTGCTGACAACACCAAGTCAAGGGTTGAGATCCCCTTACCGGTCATCTTTACAAAAATAAATAAATAATTAAAAAATAAAAAAATAATTAAAAAAATAGATGAAATGTCCAGACTAGGTAAATCCATAGAGGCAGAGTGCAGATTGGTGGTTGCCAAGGGTTGCAGGGGGAGATGGGGAGTGACTGTTTAATGGGTCAGGGTTTCCTTTTGGGGAGATGGAAATGTTTTGGAACTAGATGGAAGAGGTGGTTACAAAACATGGTGAATGTACTAAATGCCACTTTTTTTTTTCCTTTTTGTCTTTTTTACTGACCGGTAACGGGGTCGCAACCCTCGGTGTCGCGCCTGTACCGGGGACCGGCAACGGGCTCGCAACCCTCGGTGCTGCGTCCGCACCGCGCTCAGCCAGTGAGCAGACCGGTCTCTACATGGGATCCGAACCCTCGGCGGGAGCGCCGCCACGCTCCCAAGCAGCGCACTCTCCAGTGCGCCACCGGGCCGGCCTGTAAATGCCACTTTTAAATGGTTAATTTTATGTTATGTCAATTTCACCTCAATGAAAAAAATAGATGAAGCAAACACAGACAAATGTTCCAAATAGGAAACTCTGGGTGATAGGAGAATATATTCATGAGAGCCTGGATAGTCAGGGTGTGGTCCAGGGATCCACAGAAGCAGCATTGACACCTGGATGCAGGTTAGAAATGCAAAATCCCGGGCCCATTCAGATGTTCTGAATCACAATGTGCATTTTAACAAGATCCCCTGATAATCCATGAGCATGTTAGACTCTGAGAAGCCTGTGCTATGCTATCCTTCTATCTTTGTTTGCTTGAAACTGTTAGAAATATATCAATGAAAAGATGAAAGAACTTACTGAAATAGAAGAGTTTTCAGGTGGAAACTGGCATGACTTTTTCACCATTCAAGAATTAACAGTTAAATTTATTGAGTGTTTTTGAAGTGCTGAGGAGTGTGCTTAGGTCTTTGCACAAACTTTCTCATTCAATCCTCATCCCCGCCCCCAGGGAGGAAGGTGCTATTATTATCTTTCCCATTCATTGACAGGGAAACTGAAGCCCCAAGATGTCACTGGTTACTTGCTCAAGGTTAAACAGTGAGTTAAGTGGGTTTGAATCTAGGCTGTGGATTCTAAACCAAAGGGTGAAAGGTTCTGACTTTACACCTTGAAGCAGCTTGGTGGCCTTGAGGCTCTTCGAGTTCTTACCGCCCCTCCTTCCTCATTTCCTTCATCAAACATTTATTGAAGACTTCTTGCTCCCTCTGCTCCCAGGAATTCAGGGGTGACCAGGACTAGTCTGGCTCCCCAGAGCTCCTGGGCTGTTGGGGCAGACTGTCATGCAACCTGATGCTGATATTATGGCATGTGAGATAAACGATGGGATGCTTGCAAAGGTGGACACCTTGTGCAGTCTTGGGAGGTCAGGGAAGGCTTCCTGGATGGGGGGTTCTTCAGGTGCAGCTGGGAAGAAGAAACTGGCCAGGCAGAGTGGTGGGAACAGTGTGGCAGGCAGAGGGAACAGCAGAAGCAAAGGCTCAGAGGCGACACAGAATGTGATCTGTCTTGGTAACTGCAGGTGGTCCCATTTTGCTAGTGGAGGGGTAGGAATGAAGTGTGGGTTAAGTAGCATGGGAGGTGGGTGTGGGGGGCTCACCTTCATCATAAGCACGATGGTGTTGAGGGCGATCATGGCCATGATGGTGTACTCAAAAGGCGGAGACACCACGAACTGCCACATGCGGTACTGGAAGCTCTGCTTGTTCTGGGGCATGTGTCGGGTCAGAGGCTTGGCACTGATGGCGAAGTCGATGCAGGCCCTCTGCGGGAGAGAGGACAGTGTCATGAGGGGCATGGACAAGAGAAAGGTGGCTGGACACAGAGTACTTTCTTTCTAACTTGACGACTTTTGGGTGCATCTGCTTGCAGGTCTGCCTCTCTTGGCTCCAGCCAGGATTCCTGGGCTCCCCATAAGTTCCTTATCAGAATTGCTTTATTCTCCCAACAGCTATGGCTACTTAAGGAGTTACCATCTGCCAAAGCTGCACTGACACTTCCTCCATTACCTCATGGAATCCCCTTAGCAAACATGGGAAGTGGGTACTATAATAGCCCCACTTTGCAGATGAGGAAAATAGAGGCTCAGAGAGGTGAAGCCACTTGCCTGAGGTGGCACAGCTGCCACGTGGGCCACATCTGAATTTAAATCAAAGTCTGACTTTTAAGCCTAACCATTCTTTCTTACTGAAAGCCCTGCTTCTCCTTTTTGAGGAAGAGGGAGCGAGGGAACAGTGGTCACTAAATCTTAGGGGTCAATAGCACAGAGGAAGGTTGTATTCTAGATCCTTCACCTAGCCTGGATAATACCAGAGGGCAAAGGGCTATGTTTGTATTCTCTGGTGGACTGGATTTTTATTCATAAGTATTCACCATCTCTCCCTAGAGGAGATTATACTTCCTCACCCCTCTGACATCAGACACAGACGTGTGACTTGCTTTAGCTAATGAAATGTGAGCAGAAGTGACATGCCCCTTCTGGGCACAAGCCTCAAGAGCTGGACCATGGTTTGTTATACTCTCTTTTTTATTACCTGTAGCATCTTGGAGGGAGGTTGCTTTGCCAGCCTGGGAACCAGAATAAAAATAACATGGGGAATAGCCACTACTGACTTGGATGTGCGGTGTGAGCCAGTAATAAGTCCCTTTCTAGCTATCTGGCACTGAGATGCTGGGGTTGCTTGTTACTGCAGCATAACCTAGTCTGAACTGACTGATACAAATGCTGTCTGTCCAATGTATTTTCCTCTGGAAACTCCAAAAAGGAATGTTCTGCAGACTTGACTCTGCTTGGAGGACATCTGTTCCCTCCCCCAGATGACCCCAGAAGCTGGTTCCTTGGTGTGTGTGTGTCAGTTTTTAAGTGGCAGCTTCAAATGGGAAGTGGCACCTCATTCTTCTCCAGGCTGTATTCCTCCATCATCTTGTCTCCTTGCTCCTGGAAGGTGATGATGATCAAGGCCACAAAGATATTGACAAAGAAGAAGGGGAACACCACAAAGTAGACGACGTAGAAAATGGACATCTCCATACGGTACCCGGGGCTGGGGCCCTGGTTCTCAAAGGTGGCGTCCACTGAGTGCTTGAGGACCCTGTGAGGAATGGGGTGAGGAGGAAGGCAGGGGCAGAAGGAGAGGGGAGGGGGCCCAGAGGTAGTGAGGAGGGTGAGGAGAGGGCACAAGTAGGGCAGGGGAACAGGAATGGAGCGAAATGGAAAAGAAGAAATGGAAAAGAAATAAAAGTAGTCATTGTTCTTTGACAGATTGACAGCAATGTGAGTTACCTCTACTGCCACGTATCGAGGGTTCACTATGAGCCAGAAATGATGTTCAACATTTCACTTATTTTCTTAGCAACCCTCTCAGGGAGGTTTTTACTGACATCATTTTGCACGCAAAGAAACTGAGGTCCAGCAATTGAAAGGGACTTGCTTAAGATCACCCACTCAGAAATGGCTGAGTTGAGGTCTGAAGCCAGGTGGGTGGTGATGGACAGGAGTGAGTGGGAGGTCATGGAGGCAGGTGTGTGCATGTGTGTATTTAAGCACTGGTGGTGGTGGGTGTCAAGCAGGTGTAATGGGGATGCATATGGGATTGTGCATGTGCACAGCAGCTCTGCACAGTTGCACAGGTCATGCACTGCTCAAGGGCTCCGCATTGAAGCTGTGCTTTCATATGGTAGACGTGATAGATTTGTGTATTTATGATGACAGTTTCTGGCAGGTGGCCGTCAAGTGCCTTGTTTGAACAAAATCACTGAAGTATATTGCAACAATTTTCTGACAGACAGAAGTGATGTCTGTTGATGAAGGGGAGTCTTTAAAAAATTTGCTCAAAGATGCCTTGTGGCCATGGGTGTGAGTTCTGGATGTGTGTGGGTGGGTAGGGAGGCACACTTGGGTTGGTTTGTTTGCTGAGAGAGGGAGGCAGGTGAGGATGCTGAGGACACATGGCTTTATCTACTGAGCTTCCAACCTGGCATTTCCAAGACCTCTGGGAGGAGGACTTGGGTTAGGGTGAGAAGAGTGGGACATTTGCCTTCGGTGCAAATAAGGGGGTGCCCCAAACCCCAGCAACCAAGATAACAATAAAATACTAATAAAATAATCCGTTATTGCAAAATTTTAAAAAGTTGAAAGTAATACCAAAAGTCCATGATGAACAAAATACCAAGACCAGGTCCAGCCCCAGACTTGCATGATCCAGCCTCGCCCATCTCACCCTAGTCCTGGCCCTGACTGGGAGAAAATAGTCCTGTGGTCAAAAGGTCAGTTTCCAAATGCCACATGGACACCCCCATCGTGGAGATTTGTGTTGTTCATCTGCAGAGGAGGTCGTTGCTTCTGCAAATTAGAAATGATGTCCATTCTGGGAGAATGTAGCCCTGTTTGCTCAGGCAGCCCAGTGACAGCTGGATTTCTGTCCCTACGAGCCCAGCCACACATGGAGGCTGCCTGCTGTTCTGGCGTCAGCCCCTCGTGCATCTAAAAAAGGTCTCCGCCTTGGGAAGCCAGGAGCAAACCCCTCCTCTCCAAGACCCTTTTCATTACTGGGCTCTCAGACCCTTTGTTGTCCCCCTCTGTGGGGCCTCTGAGCTCCTCCTGTGGGGCTCTGTGGCCAGGTCACTTACTGTGGCCAGCCTTCTCCCGTGGACACGGTGAACAGGGTCAGCAGAGCCCAGAGCACGTTGTCGTAATGGAAATCATATTTCTTCCACTCTCGGTCTCGTGCCTTCACTTCCTCCTGTGGGGCTCTGTGGCCAGGTCACTTACTGTGGCCAGCCTTCTCCCGTGGACACGGTGAACAGGGTCAGCAGGGCCCAGAGCACGTTGTCGTAATGGAAATCATATTTCTTCCACTCTCGGTCTCGTGCCTTCA